TACATGTAAAAAAATCAGAACATACTGACAGACTATAACTAACAATTAAACTTTAAAAGAACCTTGCTGTCTCGGCCCGCTGGCAAAATAGCTTGTGTCTCCAGACATCAGCCCAAAAACTTGCAGGCTTGTGAGTGCCAGTGGGGCTTTTATTTAGTGAAGACTCACGCCCAAGGGTTGAGTGACAGATTGAAGGCAGGTAATTCATTACTTCATCTAATGATTGGTAAACAAGTTCCCTTGACGTTGGACAGTCAGTGCGACATGTATTTAACCGAGGACATGAGTACCTCGTACCATACGCTCCGCTGTAGCATCATTTTCATGCTTGTTCCGAGGTAGATGGTATAATGGGTTTTGACTGTATATGTTTGTGTGTGTGTGTGTGAACAAAGAACTCATTTGATTGATAATAATTTCAATTTTGAATTATGGGTGTGAATTTTAACATTTTTTTACAGACAACTTTCATGCTTTTTATCTAAAAAAAACCCGTCCCAGCAAAAAAACAACCAATAAACAAAAACAGATAACGTGTAGTACTACAGTACCTCCTGGAAAATTTAAGACAATGTGTTTCCATTCCCCAACCGTTCTGTATTAATTATGTGTGTGTAGGAATGTCTGTTGTTCTTTAGTTTCAGTTGATGATCATGTTGGTTCTTAGTAGGTAGTCCAAACTGGGATGTTTATTTTTTTGTTTGTTTGTAAGTGTGTTACGGCGTTCCTCACAACTGCATACGATCATATGAGTGCGCGGGACACATTAAACTTTTTCAGTTGGTAGGAAATTTTGAATTTTGCCGGGGTGGCGACCGAAGCCTACTTTTATCGATTTTAGACCACCAAGGGATCTTTATGATGTGCAACTTGCACACAGGACCTCCGAGATTTTTTTGGCGAGAAGGCTAGGTGTAGATCTTTCCTACCAGAAGATCAGGGGTGTGACTGAAAGACAGCTGTAAGGAGGAAAAAAAGGAATAGCAGTAGAAAGTCTGCAGAAAGAGTCA